TTCCCACCCAAAAAATCCGGCTAATATAGTAAGATGAAAAGTCGTGAAATTATAAAAATAAGTAAATAAATAAATAATATAAATAAGTAAACTGGGTAAATATACTGGATACAAAAACTATTAGTAATGTTATGTGTGGTTAGGTTAGATTAAGTCCGGTTTAAAGATTAGGTTTAATCATTAATCATATGATCAAGATGGCATAGTAAATTAAAAATTATAATAAAAATTAAAGGGTTTATTGAAAAGCACAACAAACAAAGACTGAAAATATACAATGGACAAAAGAGACTTACATTAATAGGTATACTGTAGTGGCATTGAGGAGTGAACTGTTCAACAAAAGCTTTCTAAACAAAAAGGAGACATGGAGTAAACATACAGGTTATACTGTACAGTACTGTACATAAATCACTTATTTGTTGTAAAGAAAACACATGGTTATGGGCCTGCCTCACTGGTGGTGTTGTAGAGGAAACACGTGATTGTGGGCCTGCCTCATTGGTGGATTGTTTAGAATGAAGGTAGTAAAACAATGGCACAGGAAAAAAAAGGCATAGGCACCTTTGACAATAGTGCAGAAGACAAAAAAAATTATTAAAAAACTATTGTCATTTTTTCCTAGTTTGACAGTTGTGCCTTTTATCCCTGTGCCAATTTTTCTGAGTACAGGTATCATGTTACCTGTATATCATTTGGTAGCCATATTAGATCATTGACAGATAAGTTAAACTTTCTGTGAGGACAGAAGACAGGAGAGGTGAATGTGAGAGGAAGGAACAAGGGTGAGGGGGTGGTATCTGGTCCTCACATCAACTTGCTGGTGGCAGCTGGTATACATACTCGTCATGCCTGGTGACTCACATCTCACCAAGGGTCAACCTGTCTCTCCAGTTAACAACTGTGCAATTAACTGAGAGTTCTCTTCGTATTTTTAAATTAACATGCACATCACTATAGTTGCACTATTATTCTGAATTAAATATATTTCTAAAAATATAATTTGGCACACAGGGAGGCAGCATACACAAACTTGCACTTCACTTTCTCCAGCTATAAAGTTAGGTATCCATTCACACCTGGGTGAACAGAGGGTACCCTGGGTGCAAACCAATGATCCTTAGGACAGAAGATGAGTACTATTGCTACTGTATCCACTCAGCCATGTCACCTTTATGGGGGGGGGGGGATTTTTCCCGTATACAGTATTAAAGACTTTCCATACTCAAATAGGATGTAATCTTCAAATGTGGTATAATCAAGACCTCAACCTAAAAGTTGGTGCATCAGCAGGCTAGAGTTATGTTATCATTTAATAACTGATTTTGATTTAAATGTTTGTTTAAAATTATAATTGAATCAGTCATTTTATTCCAGTCCACAAGGTTCCCTTGACCCTCATTAGCTAAGGTAATTCAGTACCATTCTCAAAAATGCTCACATAGTTCAGTCACCATCACCAAGGGTTCACCTTGGCCAATGATGGTCAAGGGAACCCTGTGGACCAACAGCCTGATCAGCTGACTTACATGACTGATCTGTGAAAAATCTTCATGAAAAATGTGTTAAGTCTTTGAACAAAGAACACAGGTAATCCCAAAAATAGTTACACCACAAAGTTTAAAAGGAAAAGAGTATTGTAGCAGCAAAATCTGCCAATTTGACTTCATACCGATAAAACAGAAAAGCTGAAGGACATAAGTTCATTATCAACTCTATGCTAATGGATTTATTTTTGTACTGGACTGTATTGCGTGCTACTTTTCAATTTTTTACCTGATTTCTGTTGAAGGTTTAGTGCTGTCCTGATTATCACTACTACTGGTCATTTCCTTTTTTTGTAAACTATAATAATTTTGCCAAGTAACACATGTATAAATTTTATGAGTTACTGGTAACCTATATGGTAAGAAAATGTCAAGTGTGAGCTAGGCCACTTCTCATTTCTTAATCTTATAACAGGGAACTACAATTTTGGATTATAACTTGGGATGGAAACAAGATACAGTAAAGGATGTTCAGCTTCGTTATGTTCCAGATATCGGTTAGGTGGCCCACATTTATCAAAATCATGTCCTAAAAAAAAAAAAGTGCTTGTATTCACCTAAAAAAGGTATTTTCATACTTGTCCTGTATTCACACTTCCCTACACTGTACAGTGTTACCAGATCACCTGGTTCATATCATGCAGGTCAGCTCGGGATGAACTTTTGCCGTTAACTGTACTGTACATTATTTTACACGAGTTTAATTGAACCAGAATTCATCGCCTGATGTTTGACCTTTCCCTCTTACACAAAAGTGGCTCAAGAAATCTTTTTAAAACAGAGGAAGAATCAGACTCTCCATCCTCAAAAATGTTCATACTATTGGTATTTAAGATATATCACAACCAAAATGATTAAACATACAGGGAGTCCTCGCTGAACGTCGGGGTTACGTTCCTGAAAATGTGACGTTATGCGAAACAATGTTAAGCGGATCAATTTTCCCCATAAGAAATGGATAAAATATGGGAGTTACGTTCCCCAGCCTCCCTTTGCCCCATGAAAAAGGTTACATATACAGAAAATCATTGGTGGGTAATGGAGCGAAGGAGGTGGATGGCGGGAGCGGAGGAGGGTGGGAGCGGAGGACGGCAGGAGGAGGAGGGTGGTGGCGAGTCACCGAGACTGTGGCTGCCTCCTCCTCCGCCTCTGACTGGGGTTCCTCCGTTGATGTTTGCTCCTCCTCCGTTGTTGGCAGGAATGTCTCGGCAGCAACCGTATCTGTACTGGCAGCTTCACCAGTCGTTTTTATGTTGTACCGACACTTAAATCGTTGAAACCAGCCTCTGCTGGCCATAAAGATCTCTTCCTTCGATCCTTCACCCTCTGTTTCCTTCATGTCGTCAAACAAGGATCTGGCCTTATGCTGGATAACCATAAGGCTCACAGGTGCATTGCGTTGATTCTGGTCCTCCATCCACATTGCCAGCATCTTTTCGACCTTCTCTATCACATTGCTTCTAGTACGAGTCGTCTTAGTAGCACTCAGAGATGAACCACTTCCAGCACTAACCTTAGTCTTGTCAGCGTTGATCCGGATAGTACGCACCGTTGTGGGGTTAGACCAAGCACAGCGGCTTATGTCCACAGCACGTTCCCCTTCTTCAAATTGGGTTAATACATCCATTTTCGTAGCAAGGGTAATGGTCTTACGTTGCCTCTTCACTACACCAGCATCACTTGATGGGCACTTGGAAGCCATTTCAAATGGTAGAGTACAGTTTTAGAGCAAAAGCACTTACGTACGAATGATGTGAAGTCGTAACAGAGACTGGCTTGGCGTCACTTGGGGTCGCTGTGACATTCTATGAGTGAGGGCAGCGTGCCGAGCCGAGAGAGTGTCGGCCAGATGAGAGCGGGTGATGCGCTGTAGAAAGTAGTCCGTGACGACGCAAAACGACGTAGTATCGAATCACCAGGACGTTAAACGAATTTTTGGTCTCTAAAGTTCAGTGACGTAGTACCGAAACTTTAAGCGGGACGATGTTAAGCGAGGACTTACTGTATAAGAAAATTAACAGAAGCGTGCAAATGATGATTTAAGCACCATGTTTTTAGTTCTGTTAGTTGGAATTTGCAGCAAAGGCCATTATTTGTTCATTTTTATCCCCATCAGAAGTCAGTTTTAGCAACATGACTCTAGAAGGGGGTAATCATAATGTGCTGGATTATGTCCCACCTCTAATGTTTATATTGTATTCTTGCATGCAGTGAGACACTAAATATCAGTATGGAGCCATACATATAGAGTACAGGTGCTACAGTATTTAATAAACTGTGCCTGGCTTTTGGCAGCATTTGACATAAGGTACTGTACAGGTAAGGAAAGAACCAGTACTGTACCTTGAGACAGTGTTTCTCCAGGCTAAACTATCATGTATAGAAGCATGTAACATCTTTATTAATTTTGTACAAAATAAGCTTCTTGAGATTTACAAGTACGTACAGTACTGTATTCATGTACAGGGTATTATTTTGAATGTATGTTTCAGTCGTTGCCACCAAGTGGAATACAGGTAGTCATTATCATAATAACTATGTACAGTACAGTAATATATTTGTAATTACCTATACAGTATTCATTTTGTTGATGTAATAGTCAAGTAAGAGCTTTTTAACACATTTTAATTGCCAGGGATTTTCCTGAAAGACACTGTTGACTGTTTGTACAGTATGTTTTTCAGTGTAAAACTTAACTTCTGTATACCTGTAAATATTTATATACAATACTTTAGTTGTTCTCTCTGAGCTCCCGTCAGAGAAAAATGAGTTCTCTCTTCTCTTGACCAGTGAAGCATTCAAGATCTTTTGTTTCTAGAGGCGTGGAAGTCGCCAAATTTTTCACAACACTACTTGTATGTCTGTATATTAAGAGGTCAGACAGATAACCTCTGGCCCTGCTGTGAATGAGGGGATATTGAGTAGCATGTCACTACAGTATTATATTTTCAATTCAATCCTTGGCCTTTCAGGCATTTGCATCCTTAACTGCATGAGTCAAAGAAGGCAAGCATGAACTTCATGCTTCTCTGTTGGGCACTGTAAATGCTTTGGCACTTCGCCTTGCAGAGGATACAAGGGGATGCCCAATAAACTAGCCCTTGTGTGGGACAAATCTGGATCAGAAATCTGAGTACAGTACTGTAGTATACAGTATTGGGGTGTTAGTACAGTGTCTTAATGGTACAGTATTTTAATTTTTTTTATAAATAACATCACAATATACATACTGTATAGGTAATTCTGGAGAAGTTCCAGATCTCTCAGAATCATGCCTTTCTTATTAGGTTCCTTCTACTACCAGTTAATAATTACCAGAGACCATTTAAGAGATCTTTAGTTCTCAAAATTGGATGAGTTGTTGTGAATAGTACTTCTAACACATACTGTACCCAAATTATTTTACAGTACTGGTACTACAGTATATTGTACAAATATTTATTCTCCTTGCAGACATGAAGACGTGGTCACTTGTGTTAGTGTTGCTGGCCATCAGCTTTGCAACTGTTATAGCAAAGGAAACACATCATAAAAAGGCTCACTCTGATCCACAAAAGAAGCACATAGCAGAGATTGAGGAGAAGCTGGAGCAGCTGCTGGAGCTGGAGGCAGAGGTAAGGGCTTCACTGTGTGTACAGTACACTGGACAGGAAAGATACACCTTTTTTTTAATTAACTTTGTTTCTTAAATGCTTGTCAGTGATAAAAATGGATCTCTGTCTGCATTTGACGGAATACATGTGCAATATTTAGGGTACCCGGTATATGATCCCTGACTACCAAATGGGCCAAAATACATGCCACCTGTATACTCTACTGTAATGTACTGTACAGTACAAGGACTTTTGTAATGTTGCAAGATACATTATTTGCCATATTGTAGTAAATATACCTTTGTTGTACTGTTCTGTATACTTTTTCTAAAATATTGAATTTTTTTTTTTACAGCTTAAGTCAGAAATTGCTGAGGTAGTTGAGGATGAGGGAGCATCTGATGAAGAGAATGAAATAGTGGAGGAAGACCAAGAACCTTTGGAGGAAGAAAATCCTGAGGAGGAAGAAGAAAATCCCGAGGAGGAGGAAGCAAATCCTGGGGATGAGGAAGAGTATCCTGAGGAGGAAGATGCTAATGAATTCTTTATAGGTACAGTAATACACCCAGTATGTTCTCTTCATAAATAAAAATGCTGCAACATAGAATAGAAATATGCCTGCAAAGTATTTTGGTCATATATGATGGTATAACAGTGGTTACCTATGTGTGTGTTGGTATGTGTGCTCGATTTGGTGGTTGGGTTTAATGTTAGCTTTTCTAATTGTTTTTGAATATAAAGGATATTGATATATGATGATATTGTATCTGATGGTATTGATATATAATGTTATTGTTTCTGACATTGTTGTTATATGATGCTCTTTATAATGTAATGTATAAAGACAAACAAATGTGCTAAAAAATAGTTCAGACTAATGTAAAGGATACTAGAGGAGGAGCCAAAGTAAGTCCCACACTAAGTAGTGGTAGGCTTGTTAGTTATTTGCTTGATGCAAGACCTTCCCCCATTCTTAAGCTAGATTTGCTGGTATATCTTCAATATAACATGTAAGGCTCCAAAGGATTTAACTCCTTCACTATAGCAGCACCACTTTTGGTATTTTTTTATCTAACGACAGACAATTTTATTCAGCACCGAGAGACCCCTCATACAAATGGAGATGAATGAAGTATTGAGGCTCTATATCTCATTTTATAGCCAAAGATATGAGTGAGTTTCCTGGATTTCCTCCCTCCTCCAAAGAATGAAGTGCTAAAATTGGCTGGGAACCGAGATTAAGATACAGTCAGTCCTCGACTTACGACAGGGTTAGGGACCAACGACCAGGTAGTAAGTCGAATTGGTCGTTAAGTCGAAAATGCAAAAATAATACATAGAAAATCTAAAATGGGTGTCTCTTTTTCTTCTCAGCACCACGAGAACTGTCACTTTTACGCTTGCCAGCCATTTTAAAGGGAATTACAAACAAAAATATTGTCAGTACACAGCGCGATCACTAACGTCGGGACTCGAAAATACGTATTTGAGAAATATTTTATACGACTGCGGCGGTCGTATGTCCGGGTGGTCGTAAGTCGAGTAGGTTGTAAGTCGAGGGGTACCTGTATATGGTAATCTCTCGTGAGGTAAACCGAGTTTCAAGAAAGCAGCCGGATTTATGTCGATTTGTATGATTATAACTGGGTGCGACGCCTTAATACATTCTTCACTTGGAACAAGACATTACTCATCATGATGATGTTCTCTACTGCCAACATTGGATACTTTCAGGACAAAGACGAGCTCTTCCCAGGAGACACTCAGCAGTGGTACATCACACTTCACTTGCTTGTTTCTTTGGCCATTAAGAATATATACATTATATACTGTATATATATATATTGAGTAGCCTAACTAGTTAGCCTTAAATGGCAAATACTGTTTACCCACATTGATTTTTTACTTTTATTTCAACAGATCCTTGTTTGGATACATATTGTGGGGCTGGCCGTCTGTGTGCTGTAAATGATGCTGGTGAAGCAGAATGCAGATGCATTAATGCATGTGATCAAGAAACTGACCCACGCAGGAGGGTGAGTTTTATTGAAAATCATTTGTTCACCCGATTACAAGAAATACATAATAATAACAGTACAGTACTGCCTTTCAGTGTATGGACGTCATTTATATACAGTATACAGTACTATACTGTACTGTGTATTGGATACACTTAGGCAACAGGCATCAAATGTTTTTCATGAGCATGGTGTTCTTCATCTGGACTGTACTTTGTAGTTTAATTATTGGGTGTGAGAACCAGAAAGCATTACAAGACTGTTATGGTACTGTACAGTGGTCCCTCGGTTAACGAACACAATTTGTTCCACAGAGTAGTTCGTTAACCGAAAATTTTGTCAACCGAATCCATTGTTTCAATGGAATATTGGGTAATTGGTTCCAGCTCACAGAAAAGTACATACAAAGTAAAAAAAAAAATGCAGTAGAGTACACTTACTTTGAGGTGTGTATGTAGAAGGTTCCTGATTGATGATGATGATGATGGGAATTAGAAGTGGGGGTGGAGGAGAAGGGAGAAGAGAAGGAAGTGGAGGTGGAGGAGAAATCACCTTTCAGGGGACCCATGGGTGACGCAGTAGTTTCACTAATAAAATTTTAAGTTCTCTAGGTGTAATTCAAGATTATTTTATTTAAGTCAACACTGCACTGCGCTATATATTATCAATATGTTAACTAAATTTCAGAATGACCAATAATTTTAATGCAAAAATATTCAAGACACCAACAAAATTCATGCTCGCTCCACTGTCGACAAAGCCAAACTGACGCCTGGTGGCTGAGTCAAGCGGCTGATGGGCGCACAAAAAAATAGTTCCCTGTACTGCATATATTATCAATATGTTAACTAAATTTTAAATGACTAATACAGCTCCTCCCCAACTTATGACAGGGTTAGGGACCCAAATCCAGGTCTTAAGTCGAAAATGCTTAAATAATACATAGAAAATCTAAAATGGGTGTCTCTTTTTCTTCTCAGCACCACAAAACTCTCACTTTTAAGCTTCCCAGCCATTTTAAAGTGAATTACAAGCGAAAATTTTGTCAGTAAACAGCACAATCACTGACGTTGGGACTCGAAAATACGTAATTTGACAAAATTTTGGTATGACTGAGGTGGTCGTATGTCCAGGGGGTCGTAAGTCGAGTAGGTCGTAAGTCGGGGAGGAGCTGTAATTGTAATATAAAAAATGCAAAAATATTAAAGAGCACAACTTTCTTGATATTTACTCCACTGGAAACGAATGTAAACAGAACAGATTACTGAATTGGCAGACTAGCCCATCAGCTTATCACCTGATGCTCACAACAAAACGTGTTTTTCGTAAGGATTTCGTTAATCGAAGTTTTGTTCGTTAACCGAATTGAAGATCCTTATGGGAGGTAATTCGTTAACCGAGGGACCACTGTATACAATTTCTATACAGTACTGTATATCAAAATCCTAACCAGTTTAAATATCAATGATTGTTCTATTTTTTTAGTGGAGGTGATTCTACCAAATCTTTACACCATTTTACATAAATTATTAATTACAGCATCTTGTAAAGTCTGTACTGTACAGTATCTGAGATTTTATGTAACCTTTGTTAATACATGCAGGTAAAGTAGTTACAGTTCTGTACTGTTTTTTAATAAATCATTCTAGAATGCCCGGCAGTGTACAGTACCTGTATACTATTTTCACCTGTGGATAATAATACCTATTACATAATAATATGCTGTGAAATTCTTTTTAATGTATATTGAATATTGACTTTATTAATGAGTTTGAGAATTTGACATTCTGAAGCAGATGGTAAGTGAAATTGAAATACTATCATGCTGTTGAGCAAGATATACTGTATATTTTGAAAGTGATGATCAGCCAAAATTATTCAGAGAATGTGGTACTGTACTTACTTCAGCAGAATGATTGGAGCTAAAAAAATATTTTGAGTTTCCATTTCACAAATGGTTTTTTGTACATGAAGTCAAACAGTTGTTTCTGCATGTATGCAGTAGGCACAATATGATGTGTAAGATAATACCTGTATTGGTACACATGACTCTCTCAACAGGTGTGCAGTAACCACAATGAAACTTGGATGTCAGACTGTGAGCTGTACCGCCAGCGTTGTCTCTGTCAGGAGGAGGATGATAGCTGCCTGAAGCCAGAATATAGCCATTCTCACATTGACTATTATGGAGAGTGTCAGGCACTCCCTGTAAGTATATGTGATTTTATTTTTTTATGAAGCAAATTAAATTACAATACAGTATTGTACTGCAGCGGTATATTTGTAAAATATAAGACATAATTAATATACTTTGAGTAAATATAATAGTTTAAAAAAAATACTGTGAAACACATTAGTTTTCTCTAAATAGAATTTAATTGTACACTCGGCAGGAGTGTGATGAATCTGAGTTGGAAGATTTCCCGCGACGCATGAGTGAGTGGCTCTTCAACATCATGCGTGATATGGCTGACCGTGAGACCCTGAGTGACCACTACATTCGTCTTGAGAGGGAAGCTGAGGATGATGCCAAAAAACAATGGACATATGCAGTAGTGTGGAAGTGGTGTGAGCTTGATACTCATCCAAAGGACAGGTGAGAAATAATGATGGGTAGTACAAGCCATCAGGTCAAAATGGTACAGTAGGGAGAGGAAAAGTAGAGCAGTCTCATGCAAATCTTCAAGGTGTAGTAGGAAACTGTGTGAAAAATAAATACAGTAAATGAAACTTATGAGAAATAAAGGGTTAGAAGGGAAATATTCACATCTAGTATAAAATAATCAAATCTACACTTAATCCTGTATGTTACCCGGTACACATTTATTCTTTGAGTAGAATTAATGGCAACCTGAAAGGCTGAATCAGAATATGAAGATCAAACTACTAACTATATAATATTTTTGTACTGTAATGTCTTATGTTTAAGTACTGAACAATATATCTCTTTACACTCAGTGCTGTCTCACGTCATGAGCTGTTTCCAATCCGCGCTCCACTTGTCACTTTGGAGCACTGCATTAGCACATTCCTGGACTCCTGTGATCCAAATGATGATCATCTTATCACACTCAAGGAGTGGGGAACATGTACTAAACTTTCAGAGGTAAGAAATAATAATAATTTTACAGCATACACTGTAATTATCAGAAAGAGTGTACAGTATACTGTTAAATTAAATACTGTACTCGTATATTATTATTTTGCTATTTAATATTATAATGTTTCATTTATCCAGATACAGTATACAGTGTATACTGTATTCACAGACACAAGCATACACTCTTAACAACACACACCCTTTTCAATAAATTTATAAACACACAGTTATATATACACACACAAACACATTTACAAACATAAATACATATTCACAGAAACTCTTTTGTGCAAACTTTCACCTTTTCACTTGGAGCAACCTAGTTACAGTATAACCCAATTTACCGGTACTTTATTTCGTGCATACGGTACACTAAAAAAATATTAGGGACTGATCCTGAAATCCTGTTTTCTAGCCAAGCCTGTAGCCAGGTGGTTCAGTTACCCTCCCTCTCCCTTAGATTAGTGGATTAGTCAGCTGGAACTGAACTATGAGCGATGGATTGGTTTTGAACTTAACTGGTGGCAGTTGTAGCCTTAGGTGAAATGTACTGTTTAGACAAGCTCGACTCTTAACAAGACCGTTTCCTGAAGAATAAAAAGTATAAAAAGAGCCTTCTGGCTATGGGCTTTGGGAGAAAATAAGATGCCAGGGTCATTATTAAGAAGTAAAGGTTCATCTATACAGTATAACCTTTTTCTGTTAGTGTTAAGCTTAACTTTTAATCTGATTTCAGGTTATGAACTCATTATATTCTATGATTTATAGTTTTGAAGAAAAATTTAAACTTATAGCCCCTTTCCATTTTATATACACATTAGTACTGTACCGGAGTATCTCTATAATCACATTATTTTTTTGTGCTGATAAATTTATAATAATCAATACCCAGAGTGAAAATTATAGTGCTCTATGACTTTTTACAATAACAGTATTCTTTCTTCATTTAAGGTTTTGGAGGAGAATTTCTAGTACTGTACTGTGTATTTGTTAATTCTGTAATACTCTACATGTGAAATTACATTCTTTCCCTACAGGAGGACTTGGAGAAGCTAGAGGACATGTGTGAGGACATCCGTAATGAATAAACAAACATTCAGCAATTGAAATCTGCTATTGCTTGTTATGACTGATGCAACATGTTTGCAAGAGAGGAATTATATGACTTGTCTTAATCTAGAATAGCAAGAAAAGAAATAAGTACTGTAATGTGCTTGATTATGGAGAAACTTGTGTTAACCCCCATTTACACAATGACATTTTAGCACTGTATAGCAATATTAATAATATATTGTCCTAGAATGTCTTAATAAGAATTAAGCAATACAGAGACAAGTGTTAGGTAGGGATGATTGTTGAGTGTATTAATTTTTACTAATGTAGTAGGTACATTTGAATTATAGGTTATTACAGCGTACTTTATAAATAACAAGATGAGTTCATTCAACACTGCAAGGTTTTTGTGGGTTTTTCAAACACTTTGATTGTAATTTCTATAAATCCTGGGAATTATGTAAGAAGGCCATTCCCACATGCAGCAAAACATGTTTTGAAACCTCCTAATGCAAAATGATGTTTCAAAACATAAAAAATTAAGAATAATAATGTACAGCATAGAGATATAAAAATAATTGATATCAATCCATAATTAATTATACAAAACAGCACAGTACTGTATATTATAACCATACATTTTGATGAAAGTAATAGTACTGTACTTAAAACAGGTTACTATATGTTATCAATATAGCAAATTGTCATTGTTTATACTATAGTATAATAAAAACTTGCACTGTCTTTTAATATACAGTACTTGACTGTCCTTTTCACTGCCAGATACTTTATCCTAAGGTGCTTTTATGTTCTGTGATGCTTTACTGCATTTACAATACAGTATTTCAGTAATATTTTGTTTTGTAGTCAAAGTAATTATCATATTTTAATTTGAATATAATGAAATAAAAATTAATAAACAAACAGTTTCTGTTAGGTTGATGTTCTTTACCTTTTGAGAATACATTGTAGATTTGTAAAAACTTAAAAATTAATTTTATATATTTTTTTATTTTCTTTCTTAAAATAATCTAAATAACTGCCTGTATAGCAATACTATCTGGTACCGTACAGTATTGCATAAAAAAAATTAGGGAAAAATCACTATCAAATGAAAATTGGCATTTAAAAGACAGGCAGTCCCCGACTTACGACGGGGTTAGGGACCCAAATCCAGGTCGTACGTCGAATTGGTCGTAAGTTGAAAATGCAAAAAATAATACTGTACATAGAAAATCTAAAATGAAATTCAGTAAAATAAAAGTAATCAATAATGAAAAATGAATAAAGTGTTACTGTGCACTTACCTTCAATGTAGTCCGCTGAATGCACAACGGGCCCCAATAATTTTTTAATTAAACATGGAGACTACATTAATTGGATGAACCAGAGGAGGAGACAGGGCTGGGTGGGTTATCAATGTCGTTTTCTTCAGATAGGCTAACATACTAGCTTGTTGAAGGTATTGGATCATCTTATGATCCATTTCGTCAAACATTTGCATCCTCTTATTAATAGTAACAAATGCCTCTGCCATTTGTTTCTTCTGAGCACCACCAGTACTCTCACTTTTACGCTTGCCAGTCATTTTAAAGGGAATTGGAACCGAAAATATTGAAAATATTGTCAGTACACAGCACGATCACTACCGACAACAACGACGGCCAAACAACATCTAAGTGTGCTATGGCATGGACGCTGTGCACCACGAGGTGGCTCAGCCCACGCCACGCTCTTGTACGGGACGGAAACGTTTCAGTACAGTACTGGAAAATACGTACGTAATTTTTTTTTGGTACGACTGAGGCGGTCGTATGTCCGGGTGGTCGTATGTAGAGTAGGTCGTAAGTCAAGGAGTACCTGTATTCTTTAACCACATCCATCATTGAGAAAACCATGAAAATGAAGAGCCTTGAACAGCCTCTTGATTGGATACCACCTCCACATCAAATCTGGTTAAAGCATTGAGGTTACAGAAACTGCTTGTCAATCACTACCCTGAGGATGCTGTACATGGATGGGTCATTGATTCTGGCCTCTTCTGTGGCTATGATTTTAATTAGAATTAGTCCCTCAAACTTGCGTTGAATGTAGTACAACCAAGTATAAACAAGTGTATACATTCATATGTTTGAACTTGTCGAGTTCAATCCTGATAGCATAGGGTGTATCCAAAGTGCATCCACTCTGGTTTTGAGTGAGTGTCTCAAGATTTTGAGCCTTGTCTCAGGACTCTGGTCAGAATTGATATAAATACAGAAGTGGAATCTCTGGATTTTCATTTATTTTAGCCTTGCATATCACATTTTCATGAAAATTACAAAATTCTCTCCCGATAACATAATGCATTACCTAGTGTACTGTACATATAAATTTTCCATTCATTTATGCTCTTTTTTCACTATAATACAAGGTGGCCAGATATAATTCCACATTTTACCAAATATAAAAAAAAATTGTAACATTTGTGAGGCATTGATTAATGCAAGGGCGAATGTGCCAAAACCAAGTTTTGAGAAAATGAGGTTTAAAGTTTGCTCATATTCAAAATTTCATAGAACCTCCCAAAGTTCATCAATTCTGTTCAGTTAAGTCTCATTTTAAAGGTGATTTAATGCAGAATGTGATCCTTGTAATATACGAAGTGTGATGTATAATTTTTATGTACACCGACATTAAATAATGAAATGGGGTGAAATTAACATTCATGAAAATAATGAAATATAAAGTTCTGTACATAAATCAATACATTTATATTGTAAAAAAAGTAAAAATATAATAAATAATGGTAACACTCACTGTAGATGATGATTATGCTCTGCTAAAAAACTTGGTACCAGGGGAGGTAGGGTAGGTGGCTAGTAGTCAATCTGATCATCATCAGATACATCTTCCTCCTCCGGGACGCCGAAAATAGAACGTAGCGGGCTTCTCATTGGTTGGCATGCTCCTTCCCGACATGCTGATTAGCTCAGGGAATAAGGGAGGCTGTGAATGGTCGCCGGGCCAATGGGAAGTTCGACCTTGCTTTACTTTCGCCAGACACCGAAATTACCGCAGGCAGCACAGAGACGCCAGGAGTTATACACCACATGATTCAATGGGATATTGTCAGTAAACCAAAGGCGAACTCGTCCTACCATCTTGTGTCATAGTAGAATGAAACTTTCTGAAACGAATGGTCCAAAAAATCGCATTTTTGCTCAGGTGGCGATTTTGCCCTTGCATTAATCAACACCTCATATTTGGTAACAGCAAAACATTATGAATTATGAGTGATCTCAACTTAGGGGAGTACAAATTATGGGGGTTTTACTGTAGCTCTGAACAAGGTTTCTTATCTTTCAGTATCACATTACACATACATATCACCATTTTCATTTCAGCTTGTTCAAGCTATCTGTGTCATCCTCTTTAACCATCATGTTTCACTGCCATACAGCATCACACTTCTCATCTTTTCTTACATGCAGGGGAAGGTCTTCTTGCCATCAATAAAGGTAGCAACTCCCTAAACTTCCTCCAGCCACTTCTGACTCTTGTAACCCCCTCCAACAGTGATCATGTCACCCAGATAACAAAACTCATTGACACAGTCCAGGGACATATCCAAATGCTGAGTTTCTCTAGCTTTACCAAGGCCATATGATTATCTGTGTATACAGAGCATTAAAAGTCAGCAACATCCTGCAGTCAGTCATCTGCTCCTCTACACCTCTTGTATACCCACCCTCCACACTCACTGCATGTTATTCATTTGCATCTACGTAATACCTTTCTTACAGAAAACACAGGACCATTTTCCACACCACTGATCAGTACTTTTGTTTTGGCCAAATTCACTGAAGCCTTTTGACTCTATTCCACCCTTCAATTTCTTCAATACTATCAGCACTAAGTCATCAGCATACAACTTAGTGATGCTAGCAGATAGTACTGAAGATACTGTACAGTGGAGAAAAAATATTCAAAAGAGGATTTATTTATTTTTTGGGGATGGGACCTGAGACTCTTTAACTGACCCCTTGTGTAAAGCTTCCCCTCTGAGCTGAATAAAATCGTCTGGCATTAGCCAAATGAAATACAGTATTAAAAGTGGCATCCCCGTAGTGAAGGGGTTAAGTTCTGCCCGAGCTGAAGATCTGTTGCTGTATGGAATTACAAGTGAGTCTGTTATGTATATTCAGGAGAAAAAAAAATATGGAAACAATATAAAAAGGACAAACTCAGTTCATTTGTTAGTGGCATTAATATTAAGGGTTTCCTTTATAATTTTTTTTTAAGGTAAAGTATTATCATGAAAATCTATAAGAAATATAATTTCAAAGGCAACATATTCAATGATACAAACTGGGTTTGACATCAGCAAAGGGAATCCTTGGAAACCCATATTGATACCTATTATACTTAGCAAGCCAGGTAAAGTTGCATCAATAGACACAGGGCAAAATTTTGTTTAAGCAACTTTATATGATGCAAACATATATAGAAATTACATATTTAAACTTTGCTAGGCCTCTAAATTCTGGTAGATGACAATCATAATGCGATTTATTTAAAACTTATGAAAAAAAACTACAATTAATGAACCTTACAGAAATAATTTTCAATCAAGGTAACTGTACGGTATTTCTCTAATCTCTAACAAATGGATTTTGACATATACAGAACTACAGTATACTGTATATAATTATGATGCAGCAGTAACATGTGATCTCTAACTATACTGTGTCTTGGGTTCAATCCCTGGCCCTGGAGAGATGTGAGAAGGGTATGATCATACCAGACATCACAGGTTTTCTTTGTATACTCTGGTTTCCTCCTACACTGAACAAACACTGGAGAGTAAAGGTCGTAACAAATTAATAAAGAACAAAACGAACAAATCAACCACCTGAATGGCTAGTAAGGTAAGTGGTGAAATGATACATAGCATAAAATGTTACAGAATTGCTTTTACAATAAAATGTAGATAATACGTTACCTTTTCCTCTGATTGTCAGAGTTATCCCAAGCAAATGAAAATTAGTTTTGCAAAACTTTTTATAAGTAAACTTTATAAAAGTGATTGAGTGTTCAAGCTTAACTCCACTGGAGTTGTCCCTTAACTTAATAGGTGAGCAAATTTAGCATTAACATTTTCAAGCAAACATGTTGATACTATACAACAATAATAAGGTCTTCATTTTAACAAATATGTGTGAATTTATTTGTATGAGTGTGTATATGTACAGATGTAAGTGATAGTTTGTTTGTACAGTATATGTGCAGAAGCATATGTGCTTTATTTGGCTATTTATATGTCTGTGTTTACAGTTATATGTTCATATACTGTATACAGGTGCTCCTCTACTTAAGATTGTTCAACTTACAAACTTTCAGAGATACAAACATCATCATTGAGGGGGTTTAACTGTCAGAACAGGTGTTTAATGTGGATGAGACTGGATTATTTTGAAGAAAATTCCAGATAGAACAAACATTATTTAGGAGAAGAGTGAGCCAAGTTTTAAGGCTGTATTAAAGGGTATAGCTGTACTAAATATCCATAATCTTTTCAATTTTTACAATATATTCGGTAACTGCAAGAGTAAAGTTGGACTTACAAACAAGCCTCAGGAACATAACTCGTTTGTAAGTAGAGGAGCACCTGTACTGTATTTATGTGTACTGTACAGTATGTGCATTCAAATTTACTTTTTATCTTCACTCTTTATTTCAGAATCATCTGTCTGCTTAAGGAAAGGTTTCAGTTTCTTAACAGCTGCTAACTGGATCTTGGTGAGGACTGCTTCTTCTTTGAACTCTGGCCTTTGCTTGATAAAATCAATGATGGTATCTTTGGGCAGCCCCAGGTCAGACCATAAAATTGCATCCCAATCACTTTTGAAGTTCATCAGGCTTTCCTGAAAGTTATATAACCAAGAATGAAAATAATAATATTCTACCTTAATCCGTTTGTTGGATGATGATTATCATGTATGGTATTTAAGCCCATCTATGAAAATTCTAAGTTGTACTGTATATAAAAAACATATGTACAGTAATTAAATTTTCTGTTTGTAGATGCAAGTATCCTATTGCTGTGACACAAGAACTATGTTCATTTTATGAAACTAAACCATAAGAAACAGTGCCATCTGACCTGATCCAGTCGAGTGTAGATAGCTCGTTTGTAGTAGTAGATGGGGTTGTAGATTGGAGGATCAGCAGTAAAACTGAACTGTGATGGAGGATGATCAGTGGTGAGTGGAAGGATAGCAGGAACACCAAGGGTCTCTTGTACCCACTCCATGTTTCTTTTAAGGAATTCCCACACTGCCTGCAGTGTATATAAAATCAGAACATGTTAATATTATGGGAAAAGGCTGGGACATGACATAATGCGTATGAGGTTAATTATTGTATTATTATATATACCGTATTTCTTGGCGTATAAGCCGAGGTTGTAAGCCCCCAAAAATTCCCCAAAATCATGGGGTCGGCTTATACAGCAGATCTAGACCATGAACCTTAAAAATTTTCTGAGAACCCATATATAAAACAGCTTTGAAATACAACTTTGTTATTATAAAGACATGAACTGAAATGGCCTAAAATACTAAAATAATAGAAATACTACAACAGCGACATGACATGACTGTTGTTTACTATTACTGGCGTGGTGGCTTGATCAGCTGTTATTCACCCCAAGGACATTAGTGTAAAAGAAAGTGTTGAAATACAAATTCTTTATTTAAGACACGGATAAAAAAAGACATCAGTAAAAATGTTAAAATACAACATAGAATTGAAATGGTTTAGAATCCTTCAAAATCTTCCTCTGAACTAGTGGTTCCTTCCGGTGAATCCCAGTCCTCCGACTCGGCTTCGGCTTCGGCTTCATCGTCATCTTCCCACACCACATCATCCTCCTCACCATCCAGAGAATTGGATATGCAACATTTTTTTTATGATTTTATTACTGTTTCTATTTTTATGGCATTCCAAGAATCTATCACAAATTTGCACAGCAACTTAAGTGGTGCAGCTCGCATATTTCCTCCTTTTGTAAATGTTTTCTCACCTTCAATCGTCCACTTGTACCACCTATCTGTGACTCTGTCCTTGAAAGGTTTATTAAGGCATAGATCAAGAGGCTGAACAAGAGATGTTAATCCACCAGGTATTACTGCAGTATCTGTGTTATGTTTTTTCAAGCATTTTTTCACTGGCTCAGTCAAGTGAGACCGGAACATATCCAACACTAGCAAACTACACTCCTTCCTCAGTCCACCTGGCCTCCTACTCCAAATGTGTTCTAACCACAGCCTAACTCCTTCTTCGTCCATCCAACCATTCTCCTGCACGTGCACATACACCCCCGCCGGGAACTTAACTTTGGCATTGTTTTCCGCTTAAAGATAATCATGGGTTTCAACTTTGTTCCATGTGCCATACAACTTAAAACCACTGTGAAGCGTGCTTTTTCATGTCCAGCCGTCTTCACCAAAATAGTTTTCGAGCCTTTTGCTTCCAACGTTTGATTGCTGATCATATCAAAGTTCATAGGAGTTTCGTCCATATTCCCGATACAGGTTAGAGGGAAATTGTGGTTGCGCCGTATTCGAATAATGTACCGTTGAAAACATGTGATTTTGCTCTCCAGGTCACGGGGTAACTTCTGTGCGATTTTAGTTTTCTGTCATAATACTAATCCTTTTCTCTTCATAAAACAACTACACCACCCTCTTGTTGCCTTGAAGTCTTTACCGGTGTCTGGATTTGACTTGGCCAGCTTCATTGCGTAAATACATATGGCGTTCCCGGTGATGCTGTATCCCTCTCGATTCTCGTTGACCCACTAGAATAATTTCTCCTCCAGTTCTGGCCACTGTTGTTTACCTCTTCTCAGGGCACATTTTGTTCTGGGGTTGTCTATTAACTTTTCTTCAGCCTTCTTCCACTATCGAACCTGCTTCTCGTTAACGCCGAATTCTCTTGCAGCTGCAGAGTTGTTTGATGCCTTTGCAAATCTTACAACTTTTAACTTGAACAATGCGTCGTATTTCATTCGTTTTGTGGGTGGGGCCATTTTACCATAAGGTTTAAAGACAACCACCTCATAGATATGGAAAATGCCAAGTGGAGAGAATGTGGTAAACAGATAAGAGGTCGACTATGAAGGTGAGTCAGTCCAGTATCGAATGTCAAACCGCTCGTAACGGTAATGCTCATAATGAGTCGAGTTTGGGGGTCGGCTGATACACACTACATCAGCCTAGAACTGATATTTCAGCTAAATATTCGGGGGTCGGCTTATACGACGAGAAATACGGTATGTGCTAATAATTATTATAATAAATACAATTCAGTAGTGTAAACTAGGTAGAAAAATGTGAACTATCCTTGTGAAATTAAGACTGCAGAAGAAAAGACTAGAATGTAAACAATCATTAATTTTCCTGTGCTAAATTGCTTCTTAAAGTTACAGTGCTGCAGTTACAGTATATGATAAATGGTAAATAGCACATAAGGTGGTTTCCCACATATTGGAGACTCACATTTTCAAGTCAACATTTTGTACTATTTTTATGAACATACAAAATTTCAAACTGCTGGCTTCTAATATTTCTTACTTCATAGGCACATGAATTGCAGGGAAAAGGAAGGGCAGTGTTCCCAAGTAGTTTTAATGGGGGAGGAATGGGGAGCAAAGGTACGGGTATCTCTTTGCTCCCCAACAATTTTCTATGTGGGGAATAATCTTTCAAAATGATTTTGAAGAATAATGAAATAACTGTAACTCATAAAATATTCAGAGAAACTGGGTAAGTTTAAATTCCACACAATGCCATTGGTTAGCTACTTTGCAAACGTTTTCCGATTACATGAATTGGTTCGTCTTTCCATGATGCTTTGGAGTGAAAAAAGTTATGTAAATCCATGGCACAGATTGCAAACCCTACATTGTAATCATGTCCAAAAATGCCCTCTATTTTCTCATAGAACTCAATAAAAATCTAATATTATTTTAGTGCCAAAAAATCAACACCACAAAAATTACAAAATCAACATTAGAGATCACAATAAAGGGGATGGCAACCTTTCAGAGCTATTGAACCAATGTTTGAACGAGAACAAGTGAGTATAAGCTGGAAATTATCTTTCCCCTGATATTAAAAATAAACAAATGGAGCTCACAGCACACACTGTTTTATGTGATGTCATTAATATTTTAGAATTGATTGACTGATAGGATAAAATATCTGGCATCGCAGCCTGTGGCCATTTGACGCCCAAAATGAAACTCATAATTTAAAACTACATCTGCTGAAGATGCTATACTACAATGCCTGCAACTGCTATATGGAGAGGCTTCAAATTTAAGAAAAAAAAATTAACCAGTTCTTCAGTAAAGTAATGGATGATTCAGAAGATCTCACTGATTCCTGGTACAGTATTGTCAAGGGTGAGTCATATTCTGAAACAACTAGATGGTTCAGAGTACAGTACCATAAATCCCCTGATGTACAGAGCTATGAGTTCCTGATTCAGTAAGAGGAGAGATTAATGGAGGTTCAGCCAGAAGAACTTTTCTACCAGCCCATATAACACAACAGAGATTTGCTTGGGCAATACGTTGGAACAAGAATCTTATTTATCCATGGTTGGGTGATATGTCAGTGTTCCACCATGTGCCTCATGTGTATAAGTGGTCTGGGAAGAGGAATGCTATTGAAATATGTACAGTACAGGCAGATTGTGTTTTAGGAATGGCAAATTTATGGATTTATGAAGGTACAATTTTTGTTTTTATATCCAATGCATCAAATAATGGACAAAAACCCTGAAGCTACAAAACTATTTTTGTATTTTTTATAACATTGGAAGATGCTGAGGTGTTGATAGAGGCATTTGGGAGAGTTATTAAAAGTCACATAAAGTTTTTCCAGTCTTACAAGCCCTTTCCCACTACAGTGCTGCCATCCATTCATTCTTCCTGAGGTAACGTCTCCAGAAATCACTCGGTGATATTATTTCCCATCGTTCATTTGCTCCACTAATTCCATTTTTTTTTCAATGTACAGCAATATCTCCGTTAGCCGGAATTGAAATTTGTTTGGAATTTTTCTGAAAAATTCCTGGTTTTGGAAAATTTTTCGGAGGGACGCAGTTTCTGGAAAATTCAGAGAAAATTTTCCCGGTACCTGGAAAATTTCCAGGGATAGGGAATATTTTTCGTGATTGAGAAATGAAAATCAGGCACAATTTCTGGAAATTCCAATAAAAATTCCGCGGATGGGGGATTTTTCCGGGTTTGAGAGATAAAATAATACGTCATTCTGCAAAATTCTGGGAAAGGGGGATTTTTTCAGGGTTTGAGAGATGAACATTAGGGTCATTTTCCGGAAATGATGACAAAAAATTTCCTGGTACCCGGAACAATTTCCAGAAAGGGATTTTTGTGGGTTTGAGAGAGTCGTCTCGTTATCCGGAAATCTCTCATTCCCGGAAGTGCTCTGCACCAATTGTTCCAGCTAATGGGTATATCACTTGTACACGTATATACTTTTTGTGCATGATCATGTCCAATATTTTCATATGAATTAGCATAACTGTTAAAATAATAAATTCTCAGTAATTTCAAGTGTACAGTAGTCAATAGTTAAACCTATTTTTTACTAAAGGTATCAATCTGAAGATGTGCACAGTCATCATATTTTACATCAATAATAATAAGAAAAAGAGACTCAAGACTCAGCCTGACCACTAGTGCATGTTGACCCTGGACGGAGGAGAGAACAGTGTTGGCCAAGGCAGTGCATACAGACTCTACCACTTCCTCATCTGTGTAATCATCAAGACTGTCTTCCTCACCTTCATCATCTAGATCATCAAGTCTAAAAAGAATGTTAAGTTTTTGTTAATAAAGTGATTACAAAAACAGTAATGGAGTACAAATTAACAAAAAACATGACTAAGATATGGGAAACCACAATTTAGAGGGAGTATTGATGTGTGGAAGGGAAAGAGGCAAAGCATCAAAAGGGGAGATGCCAAGTTGGAATGGAGAGTCCTCCCTCATCTCTTAAAAAATTGGATGGTGTCTTATAAAACACTAGGTTAGAAATGTTAGATACATTGCCAGTATAAACAAAATGAATATGCTGTATTGTTTATGTTTTGAGCTGCACCTACAGTTCTATACAGATGGTAATTATCACACACTCACACTTATGCAAATAAAATGGCACTGATGGAGAAACACTGATTTTTATGATGGTGACGCATACAGTACAGTATAGTCTGCATTTACGGGGTCAATTGAACCCGTGGAGGTCAGCGTAAAATGAGAAACGCGTAAACGAAATAACAGAACATAAGGGATTAATTGAAATAGAGACTGGGCCGACTCCCAAACTCCAATTTTTCCGACACAACATGTATGTTGTAGTAAAAATAACATCTTAATTTTATGGTGGCATGCACACAATTAATATTTAAGAGAAATATCAATAATATTAGGTTTTTTAACACTTACATTAGTAGAAGAGATGGCTGGGCACACGGGGATGGAGGGTTGGTTCTGAGGCAGAGGGCAGATTATTGGCCCTCATCTATATCACTTGTATCAATTGTAGCACTATCCACCACAGAGGCTTGCAGGGCCTCTTTGTCTAACCCCTCAAAGTCCATATCCTCACTATCACTGACCTGGGCCGGCTGTGGTGGGTTAAGAACTCGGTAATGTTTTGATGACTGGGCGACCTTGTGCGCACCCTGCCCGCGCCGCTTCCCGCGTAAATGATGAAATTTACCGCGTAATTAAAACATTTCATTGTGGCAAGGCACCGCGTAAATAACCAAACGTGTAAACAAAAACCGCGTAAATCCAGACTATACTGTATGAGTAATTTGTACTTGTTTTTCAATCAGTTCAATAACCGAGGAGTTATTATTCAACTATAATATCACACATCAAATGGATATTGGATACAGACTGACTTATTTATTTTTTTACTATGTTTTGGGTACATAACCCCTGCCTCCCTGTTATATCATGGATAAGAAACTGAAGTGGAACATTTTCTTAAAAACTGATATAAGCTGCCATGACTTTTTAACAACTGCATCTAACATTTTTATGGTAAAATTTGGAAGTCTGATAAGACTTAACCCATTTTAAAATTATTTCATTAACAACCTTATCTACAGGTTGGCCTGGAATGCAACTACAATATAAATAAAAAAGTCAAGGCTTTTCAACAAACAACTCTTAGCACCCCAAATAAAGCGCTGTTGGTGTTAAGATTAAGACTCAATTTGACCTGTACTCGAGATGCTATGTCCATAATAAATCACTTTTGGTCTTAAGATAATAAGTTTGATTTGTTCTCCAAATATCATGCTCACAAGGTTTTATTATGCACCAATACTTACTGTGCCAGCAAGGCTTGTGTCATCTGATTTAAGTGTGTATCATAGTTGCTATCATGTAGAGAACACAGCCGTTCTCCCACAGCAATCATCATGTCCCACTGTCCATCTGTGATTGGGGAGTCATTCAACTCGTCTAGAGATGAACGAGAATTGATGACCGAGTAGAGGGCACTCACCACTATCTGAGTAATTACCTGAAGAAGAGAAAAAGAGAATATATTAAAATGATAGATTGACTCTGAAATTGCATTTTAAACTAAAACTGGACTAAGTGGTAATGTTAGGTTACCACATAAGTCTACTGGATTAAAATTAGGTTCACTCCATGAAATTGCCTCTGATACTAATTACAATAGATGATTAGTTTTAATGTACTGTTCTAACAGAGCCATTAAAAAGAGTCTTCACAGAACCAGGGGTTGTTATTACAGTAAAGAGCTTGTGGGCTCTGTCATATTTGCATGAACGCAAGAAAAAAGTTTTGGCATTCTTTGAAAACTTTACAGGAGAATCACTCTTTTATTATTTATATTAAATGGAGAGCTTCAAGTGGTAAAATAACAAAATATCCTCACATGACCCCCAGTAGGCTTTAATGTTGGTGGCAGGTATGAGTTGACAGTATGTGCCACATATATAACAGACAAAGGTACTGTGTCAGCAACACCTTCCATCCCTGTCAGCAACTGTAGAGTCCAGGCTGCCAAGTGGTGTTCCAGACGTACAGACAATTGGCTAGGGTGAGCTGGCTTAGCTGGAGGTAGCGGGGGAACTGCCTTTATCACCTGTCCATCCACAGGATTGATTAAATAGTCATAAGGAATTGATCCTGAAATTCCACTTTATAAACAAAATTGGATCAGGCAATGCAGGTCTTACCAGCGAAAGTCTACAAGCAAGTGCTGAAAACCCTGAAACCCTTGATGTTGGTGACTGAAACTACCCTGGATAATAACTCAATACTGTAATTAAATTTTTTCTATCACAACATCAGCCTGTAAAAAAGGATTACTAAAGCTGCCACTTAAGACTGAGGAGTAAACAGCTTTACCCAGGTGTGGATCCAGGATTTTATGAATCGGGCTCAGATTTTGGGTGAACATAAATAAAGTCAGGGAAAAAGTCACATTTTCTTTAAACACCATTAACAAGTAAAGCATTAAAACTAAAGCATTTTAAAGTGGTTGTTAATTGACACATCCTCACTATCACTGACTTGGGCTGGCTGTGGTGGGTGAAGAACTAGGTAATGTTTTGTTGACTGGGTGACCTAGTGCGCACCCTGCCCGCGCTGCTTCCCGCGTAAATGATGGAATGTACCCCTTATAATGAAGCTATTGCCACAGAGGTACACTCCCTCTTTCCCAATATGGTGCAGTACAACCTCACATACTTGAACTACAGTATAGGGGGACTGACACTTGCTATAGAACATGAAAACTGTGCTTCACTGCAAATCATCTTCGTTTATCTAAAATTTATCCTCAAGTAATATTAGTGGTTATAATATTGTAATAAGCAATAGGAATCTTTACCCTTCAGTCTAAGAGGAAGCTGTCTCCCATAATATCTATTTTTAAGGTATTTGCTTGAGTTGGGAAAGTTTAATCTAATAACTGAGCTTGTTCCAGCAACATTCTTCTGTTTTCAACTTATAGCCTTTGGCTGGAAATATATGAAACATCTAAGCTTGACATTAGATTATTCTTAAAGGATATACTGTACTGTATACTGTATTTAAAATGCTTTTTCAAGATAAACATATCACATAGTTAAAATATCTTGATACTTAACATAGAAGCACAACATATTCAAAGACCCTGCACACTAATCAAATACTGTACTGTAGTCATATGAAGGACCTTGTACAGTATACCATCAACAATTCATAAGGTACTTCTAGGGTTACAAAAAGTCATCTACTGTATAGTATGAGATATCTGCATGACAAAGTGATGCTGTAATATTTCTGGCTCCTCAGTTAAATATACTTAACTCATGCATCAAAAAACTTTACTTCTTCTTTGTGACTGGAATATTTTAACCCTACACTGAAACATCACACACTAAATTTGTACATAACTTTTGTAGCATATTTCCTTCTATTATACTGAGAAAGGATAAATACAAACCTCCGATACAACTCCTGCTACACTGGGAGTAACAAGCTGCACTAGGGCATGGTGCCATGGTGGTCGTTGGACATTCCATACCTGCCAAATGTGATCTTAGAAAGTCAATACAGTATTATAAATTTCATAAATACTTTCACACATCCAGGAACTTCTGCTTAGCAGTTGTAGACAGCCAAGACAAGGAGTGAAAACAAACTGATTCCAACACATGCCTTGTGTTGTGAGGGAAGCTAACATTCTTTTTTCTATGCCAAGATGCAAGAATCCTGTGTTCCCTGGGATTGCAATAACCTTCATTGGTAAGAGGACTTCTTAGGCTAACCCACACAAATATGGAAAATGGCCATACCGTATATCATTGACCACGATCATGATTTGTTACATACCTGAGTACGGTCAAGAGAATCCCACAATCCAGACTGCTTGATTCCAAGGCTCATGAGTTTACACAGAGCTGGAGTCCAATCTATACACTTCACAAGTATCTGAAAAATTTATGTTAGATAAAACTCTCTTTAACTTAACTAAGTACATACTTGTTAAAATGATTTACTGTATATATTATTTCATGATTTCCACATTATACTGTACCTGTGTCATAGCAGCATACACGGTGTGAGGGATGAGAGGGGGCGTACAGAGGTGTGGCAGACACATGGGTCCACCACAAGGCTCTCCCTTGGTCACTTGACCTGGAGCATCCTGCAGACCTGTCATCAGTATCTTAGTGCCAAGATACTGACGCATCAGGAGACCCTGTAAGGTAACCAACCCTTTCCATTACTCTACAGTCACATTACTTCCTTCATTTTTAGACAAAACAATAAAAAAAAAAAAAAATTTAGTCATTATCATGTACTCATACATACAGTACAGAGTATGTGAAATCAGCAAAACTTTACAATAAAATTAAATTAGACAAAAATTTTAGGACTGTACAAGAAGTACTATTCATGATTTAATTTAATTTGAAAAAAATCACAGCTTATACCAAGTACCAAAGCATGCATAAGAATGCTTTGAAAAGTGCCAACACACCCTAATAATGAGAGGGTACTGAGGTTGGGGTCGACTGGCTGCAGTAAGCAGAGTGAGATAAACTGCAACATTGTCCCCTATGTATCTAAGTGATGATCTGCCTCGGGGAAATAGAGTTGGGTTGAGGAAAGTCAGCCAGGCAGGAGTTGAGTCAATGCTGGTCAGGGACTCTGGGTAGCCAGTTCTTTTCACTGCATTGTCAAAACCTTTGTGGAATATCTGAAATATATATTATATAGAAGAGTAAATTAATTGCATTTATGGCCTAACACCTTGCAAAAAGTGATGTGTATTACGGTACACCATTAAGTCTGAGGCTAAAACCCAGGTAATCATTCAACAATCATGGTTGAGACCAATTTATTTACTACATACTGTGTACCTTTCCATCACAACCAATTCCTGAAGAAGGTTCTTCCCAATAAACAGTCACCACTTGAAGTATAAGGTAATATCAGTACAGTATATGTAAACTTCATTGACCTATGAACAGTAAATATGGATAAAGTCTGAAACTGGTACACTTTAAGCCCCCTTGAGGGGGTGAAGGGTTTTGATAATTAAAGTAAGAATAAGAAAGCAAACCTCTTCTCCTATACAGGACATATGCTATGTCATTCCTCTTTCCATTCTTCATCAAGATCCATATACAGGCATTCCAAGTCATATGAAAGAGTTCCATTCTTGAAGAAACTTTCCTTAATTGATTTTTTGTAAACTAGATCACATTTCCCACTCTCCCATTATAAAAGCAGAGATACATTCCTATGAAAAATCCTTCCTCAAAAATGACTTAAAATTTCATAAATAATAAAAAATAAAATAAAAATAAAAATTGTGGTTACACTATGGTTCGATGTACAAAAATCCAAAGTCACTAAAAATTTTATTTTCTTCCATGATTCGATATACAGTACAAATAACAAATCTGCAGGTACATTGTTTTTGCCAATTTCATATTTTTTTCCAAAGCAATAATGAAAATAAGCTAAAATTATTCAGTTTTTCTTACAACCAATGTGTTTACTTACTTCACTAACATACCTCATAATTCTCTTAGACTCACAATGTTATTAAGTTTACAAATAATCTTTCAGTGTGTCATCATTCTCCTCAAATCACCATATAACTTACCGGGTACTGTACTCTCCAAACTCACACCAAGACAAATAAAATCATCTCCACCAACAGATTCATTGAACCAGTTACCCAACTGTCCAATTTCTCCTTTACTCTCATGTAATTTGTGGCATATTAGATAAAAGAAAATTATTAAGTATTCTTAATTTTAAATGATAATTGTACACAGGAAATGTATTGAATTTTAAAATAAAGTGTGGAATTTAGAAATGAACAAAAGTTTGAAGGTGAGAATATTGCCAGCAATGTTTGAGAGCATGAGTGTAGCTTCAGCTAACTGATGGCAGTTATATGGTGATTGTAGGAGAATTATTACACACTGAAAGCTTATTTGTAGACTTAGTAATGTTGTGAGTGTTAGAGGACATTAAATTAAATTTGTAAAATACCCCCTGTAAGTAAACATATTGGTAGTAAAAAAATGCAATATTTTAGCATACAGCACTTTATTATAACTGTACTTAGGAAAATGTTTTGAAAATGGATAAAAAATTTGTAATGTAAAATTTTTCATTCATAAATTGAATTACAGAACACTACTAATTACTTTGTAACTTCATATTTTTGTAAACCTAACCTTTGTAAATCTGGGACTGTTTGTACAGTAAAAAGCAAAGGTGGACAAGAAACACCTATGCTTTGTGACCATTCAGTATTCATCGACAGATCTATTAGAAGGTTGTCTTTAATAACCTCGAGACATATTACTGGTAGGTATTCTTTTCAAAACATCTGATCACATATGGCGCTATTGTGTTGCATGGGGGGCAGTCATAAGGATAATTAATACAATCATGTAGTTATGGCAAGAGAGTGATGTAAATAATATCAGTGTAAGATCCAAATACACTGAGCATACTTCTGATTTATGGTAATAAGAGACAACCCATACTGAAAATGCTCTTCATTGACTGACTAAACAATCTGAATGAGCTTGAGACTCCCTGAAGGACTGTGTATGATTAAACCAAGAAAGTCACATGTCAGCAAGTCTAATTCTCTTTGAAAATTTTAATTCAGAAATTAACAACAAGTTTGTTAATCCAGTAAGGGTTGTCCAGGGAGCCCCTAAACTAGAACATAAGAACATAAGAATGGAGGAAACTGCAGCGGGCCTATTGGCCCATACTGGGCAGTCCCGTTTACACCCAAACACTATCGCTCATACCTGTATATCCATCCAACTAGCAGGCTACTCAAAATAGTCTTGTGTTTATGAGCCTGCTCCTGTCAGGTACAAACCACAATTGGGCAGGGTTTGGTTCTTGTATTTAAGAAACCCAAATTAATGTTCAGTGAGGTATGTGAGTGTGAAGTATGGGTCACGGGATGGTTGGTACAAACTGTAATCATATCCATACAAAACGATAAATGTAAGATATATCAATTCTACTTGAATGAAAATACAATTGAACTATCAAATAGGGGGCCCAACACTTAGGTTTTATAATTAATAAGCCAATCAGGGAAGAGCTGGTCTGAAGTATTCACTCTTAATGTTACAAAAACAAAAGTAAGAAAGGGGAAAAACAGAAAAAAAAGAGAGGTGGGGAAGATAAACATGACATAAAATAATACCCCTAAAAGAAGTGTTGAAATTTTTTCCATTTGTGAAACTTAAGTTATTCTCAAGAGAAAAAAAAAGATGAAATAAATCTCATCACTTTTTTTCTCGAAATTGCCTTTGTAATGGAGAGTATTGTATATCAGGTTATCCAAAAAATATGGTGTAAAGTCATTAACCCTTTAACTTTTACAATCAAGGCTCCTACCCGGGCCAAATGTTCAATAGGAGCACACTTCAGAGCAGCAACTTTAAGTAACAAGTCTGCTCGACGATGAATGGGTAGTGCAACAGATTCATGGATCCGTACAGAGAAGAGCATTGTGGGAGAAGCAATGAGGGAGGGCAGGAAGGCTGCTACCACTGTAAGAATTGCCACCACGTCTGCTGAGTACTGCGGCATCCGTACATCACTTGGCTCAATCTGATAACATACAACATTTGTGTAAAGTTAAAAGAGGCAACAGTATGCAGTTTGTAGTATGTGCCTAAAAATTTTTATTATTTTTGTTGGTGTTGTTAAGTATTAATGACAAATATCTCTTCTCACTATATATCCTGAAATTATACTTTTGAACCAACAGAAGATAGGGTGACTATATTTAATAAGTCTACAGAGGAGAACAATCAGTTTCCCAGTCAACCAAAACCTATGACAGGAATCTTGAAGTAGAATAAATTAAAAAAATTATAACATCTTCCTTCATATAGTATATATATATATTATATATATATATATATATATATATATATATATATATATATATATATATATATATATATATATATATATATATATATATATATATATATATATATATACACACACACACACAATACAGTATTACCCTTTATAAGTTTCCTTACGTTTTTATCATATACGCTAAAAATAACTTCTTTTTTATGATGGTATGCAATACGATTAATGTTTAAGAAATACAGTGCCGTTATTCATTCAAATAATGGACTCAACTCTCTCTTCCCAGCTCACTGGTCTACCTCTCTGAAATGTTTGGAATTCACTAGATTTTTAGTGTAGTAATAAATAATACCTCAGACTGTTAGATAATATAATTGACATTTCTGTTTGCTTGCAGGTCAGGGTATATTTTGGTTGTAAACTTCATATATTTTGCAAAAGATAAAATATTTGCTTTTTGTAAACCAAATTATTACATTAGATCTCAATTTGTATGTCTAATGCAAAATCCATGATGTTTATATTCAAAATGATCATCATTTGTAAAATTGGTATAAATTATATTCTTGTCGATAATTTGTATAATTTTTGCTAATAAATATCTTGATTAATAAAAAAAATATTCTTCACACTATCTGTCAGTATCTTACCTTGCCTCTTCACCATCTTAGATTTTGCATTAGACATGGAAGTTTAGATATTATATTTTACTCTGAGTAAATATGTTATCTTTTGTGCAAATATATGACATTTATATTAAATATTCCTGGTCTTACAAAGTCAGAATCATTATATTATCTGCTTTTAGTTTGAGGTATTATTTATTAAATTTAGTGGTTTCTAAAATTTCAGAGAAATAGCAGTGTAGTGTGAGGAAGTTGGGGTCCATTATTTGAATGGACATAACTGACTGTTTTTTCTTTTCTCTTAAGTATTAATTGTGTGCATGTACTATCATAAGGTTAATATTATTTAGAGTTTATGTTTTCAATTGACGGGTTAATGGTTACATTGTATATATATATATATATATATATATATATATATATATATATATATATATATATATATATATATATATATATATATATATATATATATATATATATATATATATATATATATATATATATATATATATATTGTATTAGGGGTATATGAAATAGGTAAAATACACAAGAAACAACTTGAGTTTGACAGATACATCAAAGTGTGTTGCATTTACCTGGGCATATCTTGTAGCCAGAAGGCTAAGGGTGTCGTGAAAATGCTGGCCAAAATACTCTCACCTATGCGTGGGCGTGTATCTCCACAGGTCATTCCGCACACCTGTAACCACCTACCATCAATCTGGGAATCTGATAAGACACTATTTTTTCTAAACTATGCTGTTATAATTTTTTGAGGTAAATTTGATTACTGGTGTTTTACTGTACTTCAATTTTGTAAATCATACATGCTCTATGAAAAAAAAAAAATTATTCCAAAATTGTTTACTGCACTCTACATTACAATTTTATAATATTTATAAATAAAAAGTTATTTGCTCACCTTTTTACAATTTACATACAGCAAAACTATTAAGCGCCATCAAAAATCTCATTGCACCATTAAAACCTCATCATTTTCTGCATCTAGTGGTACAGTATAATGTGTAGTGTGCAGTTTTGGCCCTTGAAAATTATTAAGCTAGAAGTGGGAAGGCGTATATAGATTTTTAATTTATTTTTTGCATTAAAAATGTCATCAATATCATAAACGTACAATGTGTTGATTATTTTTCTAATTTTTTAAACTTATGGCCAGCCTATTCTGAAGCAATAGTGTCAAATTCATGCAAAATTTAAATTCCTTGGTCTAAATAACAACTAAAAAATATGAAAAAAGGCTTCTGATAAAGACTTTAATGTATTGAGGGCGAATAGATTATACAAAGTTTCCTGTAAGTGAGAGGATGAGCTCGCTTTTTCTCCTCATGGCTGATTCAAAATCAGGCATCTTGATATATATATATATATATATATATATATATATATATATATATATATATATATATATATATATATATATATATATATATAGAAAACTTGGCGTTAAGTGAACAACAGAACATATGGGATTAATTCAATAGAGACTGGCGGACCCCAAACTCTGCACTGTACAATGCCTATGTTCTGTATTAAAAATAACATCTTATTTTCTTGATGGTACATGCACACAATTAATGTAGAGAAATAGAAAAACAGTCGCCAAGTTAATGTCCATTCTGAGCCATGCATTTTAACTCCCTCCCTCTTCTCCACACTACATAATGCTTCCTCTCTGAGAATTTGAGAGAAACCACTAAATTTTAATAAATATTACCTCAAACTCAAAGTTGAGGTATACTGGTGGCATTGCTGGATTCTGTAAGACCAGGGTATTTTAATATAAATGTCATATCTTTTTGCACAAAGATCTTTATATTTACTCCAAATGGCTGTGTATAAAATTTGTAATACAATGCAAAATCTATGATGGTGTATGAAGAGGGAGGCAAGGTGGGAGTATTTTGATTGACAGATAATTAGTGTGAAAATATTTTTTTTTTTTATTAACTGAATATTTGTTTTAATGTAAAATTGTACAAATTACTCGCTTAAGAATATAATTTACAATGTGGAATTGTTACAATATGATGATCATTTGAATATAAACATCATGGATTTTGCATTAGACATGCTAAATTTGAGATCTAATGTGTGTTTAC